TTTACCTTACCCGCTAAAAATGATAAAATTAACCAGGCCTACTAATGTTAGAGACCAGGTTCCCGCTGTCTTGTTATATTTTGGTCCATAATACATTTCAACCTCGATATTCTTTCGTTTCCAAAGCATTTTGGGATTGGGAGACGCGCTGTCCCTAATGGCATGTGTGTTGGGCGGGTTGTTGGTCGGAGATCTTCTTACTAGCAGCCGCTTTCGGTTTGGTCAGCAGCTGAAAACCTACATCGAAAGGTAGCTACGTCATGTACCAATACTAAAGTGTAGCTAGGATTCCTTGTTTGTTGACGTTTTGATAAATCCAGACCTACATATTTACCTGTTTACCGCTTTTTTACGGTTGTTCCATGCATTCTCTTATGTTCTACTGTTCGAATGCGAACCTCTATTATGGCTTAGAATTTCTACGTCACAGAAATCGTTTTCTGGCTCGGGTTCGCAGACGTTATTTTTTGGCGGAACCAAGTGACAGCCGGAAATACGTCTGCGTTCGCAGGCTAAGCTAAGACTGGAGAATATCCGAGTGTTATAATCCATGAAATATTTTCGCTCCACGCGATTGGTCTAAACGCGTCACGTGACTGAATATGCCCCAGGTCGCCCCGCTAAAACTGGGGAATATCGTCAATATCCGAGTGATATTCCCCAATTTGTCCTTACGTATATTTGTCCTTGGACATTATCGACTATTATCTGTTCCTTAAAGCTCACAGTTTTCCTCGAGCTACGCTCTCGGAAAACTGTTCTCTTATCGGAACAGATAATGGTTATGTCCGCGGACAAATATCCGAGCATATTTTGCGCCAAATGGAGGCTATTGTTTGTATATTCACTGCGCGTGTTGCGATTATATAATGGGCTCCATTTGCCGCAAAAAATGCTTGGATAAATTTCGGACGATTTTAATGTCGGACAAAAAAAGTGCCCAAAAACAACATCGTCCGAAATGTTTAAGCTTGTCCGAAATATTTATAGTACAGTATAGAACTTTGAAGTACAGTCCAACCTCTCTAATAAGGACACCGAACAGACAGGCGAAGTGTCCGCATTAGCCGAGGTGTCCGTATTGGTGAGGTCACTATGATGACGTCACTTCAAAGTCTCCATAGTATTTTCGATTACACTGTATTGAGGTTGCATTTGTAAATGTAAGTTTTGGAAACTAAAACTAACACCTGGTCCCCGGAGTAATAACGAGGTAAAATGTGTATGAATTTGCTCCCCAGGGCCGAGATTTAGTGTCCGCTGTCCGTTTTAGAGAAAGTCCGTATTAAAGAGGTTTTTTAGAGGAAACGTATGAGAATTTTGTCGGCTCACAGGAAACTGTCCGTATTAGAGAGCTGTCCGTATGGAGAGATTCAACTGTAGCTCCAAAGCGCTTAGTTCTTTTTGCCTCGTGTCCATGTGACCTGTTCAGGTAACCAAATTTCACGTGGAAACGAGGTATGTGTGGGCAAATCGCTAAACTTCTGTGTGAGAAATTCCTGTGTAACCGTTCTTTGCGTTCCTAATAATGTAAGATTCCTCTGAAGGGCGGTTCTGGAAACTCGCGGGGTTTTTTTGTTTATGAAAGACAAGCATAAAATGCTGAATTGGCGGCAGTTTGTGCCATTGATTTTGGTAGCCACCCTGTGCAGATTCAAGACACCCTATTTATTCCTTTTTAGCGGGGACTGGCATGAAGATCATAAAGACCTTGGAGACGCAATCATTTGTGACAGGCTGTTTTTAGCGTTTTATTTCATGTCCGAGCCCACGGTTACCACAACTCGCTCGCGATTTAATCAGTTTTGGCAACAATTGACAGTAAAACGTTGAAGTGACGGGCTAAACGTCACGCACAAAAATCTAAAGATCACAATGAGCGGATTGAAAACTAACAACTAATGCGCATTTTCTGTGAATAAACAAACAGGTATATATATATATATATATAAAAAAAAAAGAATTGCTAATATTATGATCAACATCTCACTATGATATATATGGGTAACCAGCATCAGGCCAGATCGTATTAATTCGTAAATTATGATACCGGAAGTGTAAGGCTTGTATTCTGTATAGTACGAGCGTCACCCCCCTAGCGTACTTGCGTCAATAGGAGCAAGTGAACGAATCACCCGGATCCAAAAGATTATGATCCTTGCCCAGGAATGAATCGCCCTGACTGGTTTTCCATTCCTCTGTCAATAAGCGTCAGATCGAGTCGGATCGAATTGTACTCCCTAAAAAAACCTGAAGTGGATGTGCGCTCCTGTTTACTTTAGCTAGCCTCATTTTACACTTGTTTGGTTCAGCAGTGGATTTCTCCGCTCTACAGCAAGCGACACGAGGCAGGCCAAAAGGGCCTTTTGATCCTTTACGGAGCGAATTCTAGTCGAGACATTGCTTGAGGTACGTAACGACCTGATATAATTTGTGTTATTTTCTCGTCTGTAAGATCTTAAGGCTGTTTGTTTCAGTCTAATTCGTGTTTTGTAGCCGTAAATTTACGTATCTGTCTGAAATTTGTCCGAAATGAGATAAAAATTGTCCGAAAATTAAACGTTACGTTTTTTTTCTTTTTCTTTTTTTTTGCAAGTAATGTATTTGAACTTGGACATTATCTGTTCCTCAAAACTCACAGTTTTCCTCGGGCTAAGCTCCTGGAAAAATGTCGTTACACGTTCGCGAACAGGAAAGTTTGTTAGCAAGCTGCCGCTTGGCGTTAGTATCGCGGAGACATTCAAACGTGTGTTTGAATGTTTTTATCAGTCGTCAAATTCCATTTCGGACTCTCATCTGCCATCTTCTTTTTCAAAAGAAAGCCAAACTATGTTTGTTTATTAAAATTTTGGGTGGCCGCTTTATAGGGGTAAGGGCAATAGAGAAGATGACCTAAAGATGGCCGGGGCCGCTTGATAATAGTGGTTTTATTTGCAGTATTTTGCTGACAACAATTTCGGAATTTTGATAACTGGCCGCTTTATAAAGGGTAGCCGCTTAATAGAGGTTCGACTGCAACTGTCAACATAAGAGTAGCCTTGACTCGCTACCAGATACTAAGGAAAAGCTCAATGAAATAAACCATGATTAGATTTTAAAATACTATATTTTTAATTCACTTTTATTTGATTTTACAACAATGTTTCATTTCATATAAATTTGATAAAAATACCTAAATTATGTTTTATAAGTTTAAAATCGATAGCCATGGCAACAAAATATATAAACTTATGTATCTCTTTCGTTGAAGCGTTTTAAGATCAAAAATCAATTCTGCCTTTCGTTCGGTAGTATAATTCATGTCTTACAATGACACAGTAATACTATTGTAAAATAGTCGCCAAGCGTAGCGAACTGTTACATTACTTACATTATATTTGATTCATTGCATACTGCATCGGAGCACGGTACAGCAAATCACATTGCACTGTAATCCTCTTGAAGTGGCTGCGATAATTTGAATACTAGCTACCTAAGTTTCTTGTGCGTTACAGCTTTATAATTTGTAACCTCGTCGGTCTTTTTTCCCAGCCTGACTTGCCGGTTAGCAACACTGCAAATGTACAATCTTTTGAATACATGGTTGAATGAATAAAACTTTGTTCACACTGTGCAAAATACCGTACTGTACTTTAAAAACGCAAGAAGCCACGGACGATCTCCCTTTCGAACTTAAAAAGGTTAGCATAATATTTTCATGATGAGACCCGTGATGTGTTTTCTTAAACACTTGTTACATAAATTTAATAAACAATACCTGATTTACATCTTGCGCACTACCAGTTTTATAATTTTAACATCATTAAAGCTCTATAATAACAAAATTTCTAAAAAATACGCTCTCACTTGTTGCCACTGCGAAAATATTTAAATTTATGTATCTAACACTTGTCCATGGTGACTGCACGACAGATCACTGTTGTCAAGAATGCAGTTTTTTGATTGCCCCTGTTAGCAAGTCTGTAACGTTACCCTCCCGAGAAATGTTCCTTGATGGCCAAGGCACTGGCGGAAAACGGATTTTGATGTTTTGACCAGTCACTTTGTCAAAGAACTTGTCCATCTTCTTTAGAGGTACAGCATTGTGCAATGTGCGCAGGGGGTTCAGTGATTCCACTTTGGTCATTTCTTCATAATATTCTGCAACTTAAGATATAACCAAAATTCCCAACAGTTAGCATAAAAAAGGTAAAACGTAAAAACTTTAAAGCTTACAATTTAGATGGCAAATCTCAGCAGGTGATTTCAGCGAAGGACACGATGGTGGAGGTGTTGCCTTTTCAGTAAATGCCCATGAACAATTCCGATGAATAAATACATGAAGTAAATGGGCAGTGTTAGTATTGTGTTGCATCGTAATTACCCTTTTCAAGAAGGAATCTGGTGTTACATAAAGGCAATAAATCATCTTTTAGTGCGCGATTTCTCTCATAACCTGTCTCTTTCACATCGTAGGTGCAGGGCAAAGTTGATCAGGAATTGCGGGTCAGTGAGACGGCAACCAAATGCTTCTATTTATTTTCATACCTCTCTTTCTTTCTAACCGAGGAAGAACAAGACAGTACGTCTTAAAACACGGTCTATGGGGGTTCATGCAGTATTTGTAAATAAAACGTTGTTGGTCTTACTGCGTGGCTTGCTACTTTGCTTGGAGCTTCTCGTAACGGAGTGTGGCCTCACAACCCAAGTATTCTGAATGTCGAAGGAAAGCTTTCTAAGAGCACGAATGGCAGATGCAGATCCTACAAAAAACAGCAATACGTGGTTACACCAATATTGAGAGCAACTATAACAATACTGAAATTACTATCCCGTTGCTCGGCCTATGGACCGATGTGGTGGCTTTTAACCCAGGGCATGCAGTTTCTGCCCACCCCCTCCAGGTGAGAGTGACGAGCGTCACAGAGCATATTGTATAAACGTTTAGAGCATTTTCAATACGAATTAAGGTTTCCGTCAATCAGCAGGGGCCTGTAAGTCCTCCGACCTTCCTCCCCCTCCTGACCAGTTGAGAGTGGGGAAGCATCAAAGAGCATTTTGCTCCATTTTTGGCGCTTTCACAGAAGAACACGTTGGAAGAACGAACACAAACTGTACCATCGATCTAATTTATGGTGAAAGAGTACATACTTAAACGCCAAATTACATAGTGCACTCGTTTTATCCTAAGTTGCTGATGAAATCCAGTCTTAAAAACTGAACATCAACTAAGTGAGTAGTTACAATTTTAAAAGGGATACTCCAACCGCTGTCGTAATGTAAAAAATAAAGTAGTAACCAAGCCTGTCAGATATCATAGAGAGTAGTAAACCAATACCACAATCAGGACGGAAAAATGAACAAAATGAAACTGGTTACAAAAGCCCGTGGTTTGCTTTTGCTCCTGATCGGTTGAAGCAACAGCGAGTATTTCAGTGGTTAGAGCACGTAATGCAACAACAAAGTGCACACAAGAAGTCCCACTAGTAATGTGGAACCCCTTAAACAGCTCTCTGTCATGTTGCATCAACAATGCTGAAAACTAAACATCAAAAAATGTGGTGTTCAATTAAATACAAGTTATCCCCAAAGGCCATGGCATCTATGAAACCCGAGCCTTCTCAGGAGATTTTATTACCAAGCACTAGAGATTCTAGCGTCCTTTTTGTTGACAATACACCATCAGTGTCCTTACCAGCACTGAATCTTTTCCTGTATGGAGAAGATGACTCGATAGTCTTCACTTGCTGACCATGCTCAAAGCTCCGTGTGCGAGCAGCTGGAGGTTTCGAGGTTCCTGTCGATAAACCAAGTCATTGAAGTGAAAGAAGTCAAATGGATACAAAAAATCAGATGCTGTGAGCGAGACAATTCAGCTAGGGATTCAGCACAGAAAAAGAAAAAGAAGAGCCTCTTTCATCTGCGAAAACTCTTTGTTGTCAATCAAAAGGAAAATCCCATTGTATGTTATGCAAACTTACGTCAATGTTTCAGTGGTATAGTCTAAACAATGCTGCAACAGTAATTGAATTTTATGTGGCTGCAAAGTTACAATTTCACATTGCAACCTGGCCGCTTTGAATTTGAAATGGCCACCTCTTTCATCATTTCATCATATCATCATATAATAACCCAATGAACAATATACCATGTGTAATACTCTTCTTGAAGTTTCATAGCTTGGCCAATTAGGGATAAGCGGGATGAGTAATGGTCAGTACAGGCTATTCAACAAACTGTACTTCCTTTTGGTTTTTGTACCATTCCGTTTACCTTTCAAAGATCCGAGAGAAACTGGCAAACACTTGAAGACTTACTAGACATAGATGCGTCATATCATATCATGTTCCCTTCAGTAACTGAATATGTAATATTAACATGTACTGCACAACTATTAAGTTAAACAAACCTCCTAGGCTATTTAATCACATTACACCATTTTTAAAGAAGTGTTAACCTTTCCCGGGCTTTTGTAGTAACAGCAAATCATACTTGTTTGGTTATTCCATACTGATTTCTCTCACGTTTCTCTTATATGCATGATAACTGCATGGTTATTGCTCACTACATACCTTGTGAATTCTTGTCAAGATTAACATTTTCTATCATAGAATGAGACTTAGCTCGGCCAACTGGTACATGACGTTCTGATGCATCTTCTTCCACAATACAGGTCACTGAACTGACCTTTCCCTCTCCTTTGTCTTTCTGTGCAACCTCTCGTGTTGCAGTTGCAACATTGTTCGCAAAGTCAGTTTCAGATCTACGTCTACTGAGTTGTCTGCCTTTTTTCCGAATCTGTTGTCCATGACAACTCTTTAGTTCAGTGTCACTCATGCTGTGCCGCCGTCTGCTTATAAACGTTTCCTTTTCAGGTAATTCGTCAATGGACATACCAGAAGAAAGATAAATGTCCTCTACACTTGCTCCTAGGGCAGAATCAGAATAGTCATCGCTTCCGATTGCAGAACGTGGGAGCTCATTTCCGCTGTAAACAACTTCATCATAAGCTTCAAACTCATTACTTTCTGCTGCCTCCTCATCAGCTGATTCTAGGTTCTGAGAGGTTCCAGTGGTCCATTTCACAGCTTTATTCATACAATCCTGACTTTCTTCGGCCTCATGCTGTCCAGGATTTGTGCTTGTGGTTACAAGAAGATGAGAGGATGCGGTAAGATCACAAAGAGATGTGTCTTCATTGATAACACTATCAGATGTAACCTCACTTTGGTGACCACTATCCATCATTGTAGTTTCATCAACTTTGCAGCTCTTACAAGCATGTTCTACATCTTTGTCAGTTGAAGGGAAATTGGCCGCAGAAGATCTCATCTCCTCTTCACCAGCTTTTCTTGATGGAGAACTACTTGCCAAGAACTCTGGATCATCCAAGGTCTTTGCTCCAGGGCTGAAGTGGAGTTCCACGTGAAATCGGTGATCAGAAAGAGGATCAGCCTCAGGGTCTTCATACAACATAAGCACCAACTGAGTCATATAGTTAAGCTCAGGAACCTGTTCCAAGAATTCTACAGCTCTCTCCCACTGCTCATCTGGAACATTCTAGAACGTTTTGAACCAAAAAAAGACTATGGTAAAAGTAGTAATAACATCGCACGGATGTCACCTACTATGTGCATTTACCTGGAAAGACAACCAAGATGTAAAAAAATAGTCTTGAATTAAGGCTACGATTGACGGACACTGAGTTTTAAGAAAGATTAAATGGCCACAGGCGTTGTGCACAGACGAAACTCTTGGTTTTCATGGAAACTAATTTAAAAGTGATAACACTAACACAGATTATGGCTTACTTCAAAAAGCTTTCCGTGTCTAAGAGCATTCAGCACCGTATGTACGTGACTCTCGCTAGTGAAGTACAGTCGCGTTCGAACTTGACGATGGGGGGCTTCCACACTCTGCAAGTAGCTATAGAGACAACTATGTGAAGAACTTTCGCAAGATATACAAAGTTAATTAATTCAATATGGCAAAGAAGTAAAGCCAACGTATACAATGCAAATGGAGACATTTTGTTTGACCTATCAACTTTTTTCAGTTTTCTTATTATCGCCAAGAACCATATCTTGCTGTCCTGTTTACATGTAAAGATAACCTCTCCTAGCCTTGAAATTTCCGCGTTTTACTCAATGAAAAATTCTCTATGAAGGTACACTTGTGTTTAAAAATAATAAACTGACAAAATGGAGAGCGAAATGGCCAACTCTGTACGCATGAACTACTCAATTCTTGCCTCAGGAGATGCGCCACTGTTTCTTTCCTACTTTTCTCCTTCGCTCTTTTATTCTCATTGTTTTTTGTTTCTATATGCACAAGTTTGCTCGATCTCTAGAGCGGTGAGTTTTCAACAAGTATAAATTTCATGCTCTGTCTACTTCTTACTCAGGATTTAGACGAGTATGGATGTCTGACGAGTCAGCATGTCGCAAATCTCCTTTGATGTTTCTTAAGAGCCTTGCACATACACTATGAGCAACGCTAAGCTTCTCATCTGTTGTGATTCCATATTCCTGAAAGATATTTAATCCCACTTGGGTCAAACAGTTGATGACCGTCGATTTGGTTAAACTCTCCCAACAGGACGCTTTCCCACCAATTCACCTGAAAATATTCATCTACAATATCCAACATTTCTGCCGACCAAATCATTCCAAAAACGGTTTTTTCTTTGATAGAAAACGAAAAATGCTCTACCAACACATATGACAAAACAAAATTGATTCCATATAGAAAGAACTAACGTTATCACTAGCCTCAACCCAAAACGGCTTGGAAAAGTATTTTGTTGGGACACGTCAACCAAGTTAATTAAAAGCAGTTGTGATTGAAACGGTTAGTGTTAAGAGAGCAATTACAACCATAATCTTATCTCTATACCGATCTCTAAGAAGGACCTAAACGTTTTAACATCTACGTTTACAAGATTAAATACATACATGTGAGTGAATACTTATCTTAGCAATTTGCCCCAAAAGTGGGTTCAATCAAGCTCTAATTTCACTAGGAATATTCTCCCCTGTAAAACGAACTCTATGATATTAGTACGAGTGAAAGGTCAACGTTTTCCCATCATTGTACAGCCATTGGGTTGGGTTTAAGCCAACCCAAGGTTTGTAATAGACGAGTGCGCCCAGATTCCCGATGGACACCATAACTGCAATTTTTTATCTACAGGTTTTCGACTGATCGACTCACCTGTGGAATAACGATATCTGCAAAGGCCTTGGCACACTTGTACAAATCCAAACTGTTTAGCAAGTTCAGCTGACTAAATTTAATAACAGAGTATAGAAGACTCAGTCGGTGGTGAAGTAAGAAATGTATCTATCCTTTCGCGGGCTGTGCCTATGAGAAGTGTGAGAAGGACTGAACAGTATTTTCACTCTCAATTTGAGTCACTCCAATACCACAGGTTTGCATATCTGATAGCCAGAAATGTCAGCCGTCTCTCGCCTGGTGGCGCGCAACGACAAAAGAGCACTGCTGGAAATTCAGGCTACATTACCGCTTTCATGAGATTGGCCCTGATCTACTACATTCTACATCAGTCTCCTCACAGATCACTCTCCAAATACCCTGCTAACCAATCAGCCAAACGACTACACAAGATGTGTTTAATACACCTAAAACTGAGTTCGCATTTCACTGGGCGATACATGTTAGAATTAATTACTTCAACTGTTTGAGAATTACGTAAGCGAGATTTTCTGATCAAGTTCCAACCTGTTATGCTGTACATCATACTTGATGCAGTCGTAGATATCTGGAATAAGACTTATATCAAACTTCCCACTTCTCAGCTTGAAATCCTAAGAGACAACAAAGCGATTTTGGCATGTTACGTTGTTAAACTTAACTGACAGAGTAATGTTGAACAATTAGATGTGAAAGCTCTACAATATGTTCTTACAAAAAAGGGCTGAATTAATTTCTCTCGAAATTCTCCATGCAAAAGTTCGCGACAAAATTGCAATTCTCCCAATCAGCTATCATTATTTGCACGAAAAATGCAGCACCAAAATAACGCAACTGAAGGGGCAATTCAAGGTTATCCAGTTAGAGTTGAAACGATAAAAATAAAAAAAAAATAAAAACGGGGGGGACCCACTAAGAACGTTCCAAATGCTCTCAAAAGGAAGAGACGGAAAAAAGATTAAAACGTCAGTGAGGCAGACACAAGTGTTTTATGTCTGTCCGATTTCCGTAGTTGCGTTACACGTCACGTATCTGGTCACATGCTTCAAGTTGATTGACAGATAAGTCATGTGAGAGAGGGTGAGAAGGTTCTAAATTTTTGATTGTAAAATGTGAGAGAGAACACGAACTCGTGTGTCGAAAAGATTGTCAAGATTGTGAAAGTACAGAAAGTATACAGTCCCCTGAAGGAAATAAAGATTTGTGAAGTCCTAAGTTGTGTGGATTTCTTACAATGTCCGCACTTTTACAAACGTAAGTAACCTTTTCTAGTTTTGTCCATCTGTACATCATCAGCTCGAGTGTTTCATCCTGGTAAAGAAATGGATCTGTGTCAAACGAACAAGAGAGAGAAAATGTGTTAATCAGCCTGACAGTTGGGAAACGAACATTTCATGTTCATGATAATCTGATAAAATACTCTAATTTGGAAAAGCAACCTGTTAATAGACCTGTGTTTGTCCATCTTGCAAGTGTTACAGTTGAAGCAATTTCACTTCTTTTTACTAGATACGAAGACGCTACAAAGTAGGTAGCATCCTACCTCTTGGGTCATACACTTTCTGAGCAATCATCTCTTTCAGATGTCCCGTAAGAGCCTGCATTAGGTTATAGATCTTCTCACACATTTTGTAGGGGTTCTTTACAAACTTCATGGCATTGATCACTGAGTGACACCTGGTTGGCGCAAGCTAGTTAAAATAAATGACAAAATAACTGGTCTGTTACATGTGATTATCCGGGTAACAAGGCCGTAGCCATAAACAATTATGACTGAGGTTAAATTCTCTTCTTAGGTATTTAACAGTGTTTACCTTGCACCCTTCAAAACGAAAACCAACAAACACGAAAAAAATTACAGAGGCAAGTGCCTTGGTTTGCCGCATACCGGGTAAGGCCCTGGGTTATTGATATTGAGAATGACAGTTACTGATGACCGACGTTTTAAGTCTGTATTAGAGCCTAGTGGCCAATGAGACTGGTATCCAGCTGCGGTTTCTTTAACGTGTGTTTTCCTGAAGCGCTAACAAGTCTATACACCTGGGTTGAGGAAGGCACTGTGAAGGTGTATTGTCCAAGAACAAGACACAATGACTCAAGTTAGGGCATGAACTCTGACCGCTTTATAAAGCGTATGCTCACTAGCTATCATGCCAGCATGTGCCACTGACGTTTGAACAAACTGATAAATACTACGCAGACTGTCAAAGCCTCAGACTCTAGCACCAATGTTGTAACTCCTAGCTTCAAAACATGGGGCTAAAGATTATTTTTTCTACTTCTTCTTTGCACTTCTCGGTTCCTTGCGGAACATAAGTCCGACCGCATCGCGATTATGCTTATCAGCTCAACGTGGTAATTGCGCACGGGTGTAACAAAGGGATAGGTGTCTGCTATAATTAAGTATAGCTAACTAATAAATTATAATTAATATATTTAATTAACTAATTAATTATAATTATATATTAGCTTTTAATTCATAGTCAGCAAGACCCCGTTGATAACAGTACTTTGTACTGAAGGGTTATCCTGGGTAAATTATTATTATTAGAGGCCTGCAACAGTATTTTATCACTGCCATGTCATGGAAATGTAGCATTTGGATTTGGGTTATTACTCTTCCCAGTAGACTGCGACACCCACAAATGTTTTTGTCGCCTTCAGAGTAACGTTTTTGATGCTTCAATTATGTTGTACAACTGAAACAAACTGTTTGGTTTGACACCCTCTCGCGGCATTAAAAACGTTACTCTGAAAGCAGAAAAGAGATGGCGATGTGCCTAGTGGAAAGAAGCCTGGGAAGATGAAAATGTACTATCGATGGAAATGATGCACAAATTAAAATATCTTGAATATGAAACATTTTATACAAAAGAGGAAAAACATTCACAACCTTGGCAAAATCTGCTTCCTTGAAATCTTCATTAGAATCAAGCATTTTATGTAATCTGTGCTTCACCCTGCAAAGGAAAAGTAGCTACTGTACCAGAGAATACTATCACTTGAGCCAACTAGAAGATTATAGCGCAACATCACTGATGATCAAACCCGATCCAGCTCTTGTGAGGTGTATTAAGACTAGAAAGTTCGACAGGTCCTTCCTCCATACCTCCATGTCCGTTTGTGACTTATCCATTTCACAAATAAAAACAACGATGATAACGACTGAATTGTGCACTAAGGTGTGAATTCCTCATCAGATACAATTACTGTTAACTATTGAAATAAACGAGTACTCGGTATCACCACGATGAACGACAATTCTGTCTCTCCTGTGCTGTAAAGTTCTGACTCTGCTTTCATAGACTCCCAAGCTAAAGAGCAACAACAACAACATTTAACAACGCCAGAGGTTCAATTTGAAAGTTTTAGTACTTGACAATGATGGCGTTATTGTTATATCCGCAATTGCAGTCATGCACAGGGACTTACTTTCCCAGTATCTTAGCGGCATCATCAGGGGTGTCAAGCATCTCTGTGGTGTTCTTATCACTACGCACAAGATGTACAAGAACAGGCGCTAGTTCACCTTCAAGAGCAAGAAAACCCTAAAAACAACAAATCAATTATGTTAGCAAGACATAGGCCCAAATCTCCAAGCATTGTAAGACTGTAAAAACGTGTCTCCTTTTCTGATACGAACAATGATTAGATGACTTTTTTACCCTCATCTCTATGGTTGAAATACACCGAAAGTGAAGTCAGACATTAATCATCTTAAGCAGTTCAATGGGTCAGCTAAAATACTACATGTACTTTAGCAATCTGCCCGAGCCACAGCCTGCATGTGAACGTGCAGGACTTGAGTTCAAGACTTAAGAGCAACAAATAAACTGATGCATATATTGAACTTTCACACTATAACATGGTGAGTGATGCTATCACAAAATTTTTAATTTTTCGAAAGCCCACTGTATTTCATTACAATACATCTTTTAACTAAATGCCCCTTCAGTGCCATAAATTACGTACCTTTGCAAAAGCTGCAGCTGTCATTTGCACTCGTCCCTCATCGGATGCATAAATCTTCAAATCATGTCTGTAAGTACTGTGAAGTCGCAACAGACCACAATCCGACAGCTTAGAGTATTGTCCTTGGCCACCAGGATACATACACCTATTTAAGAACAGTACATTGTAGATAAAATCGTTGCAAGCTGTGGTAAAATTGTTCTAAGTTGTGATAAAACTGTAGAAGCATATATCTACACTTGTCTGACAAGCTTAAAACCAGATGTGGCGATTTTAGAAAATACACCATGTGTTCATGTTCCTGGACGAAACAGATGACAATTAAAAAACAATTATAGAAGTTTGCTGAACTTTATTTTAACAACCATTCAAAAACCATTCCAAATTTGACAGACGCGGTGAGCGGTTTGAACACTGGCAGGACACTCCATTAAGGCGTATTTTCTTGAACAGCAAAACTATTTTTTTTTATTTCCTATTCTCGCCGAGAGCCTTTGTGCTGCACACAGAGAGCGAAATAAAATGGCACTGCTTTGCAGGCTCCTATTTTAACCGAAGATAACTTCGATGAAGGATACACATTTAAGAACGGCAGGAATTATAAACTAAAAGAGCACGGGATCAAAATCTTTGCATTTCGAAGGCTTTACCTCAGTTTCTACTCAATTAACATACGCAGTTGTCATAAGAAGACGGAAGAGCAGACTAGTAAATTTCGTTAATACCTGAAAGCACGACCCAGCTCTAAAGCCTGCTCCTTTCCCATCATGGTTAGTTCTCCACCCCATTTCACAATTAACAGCAAAGAATGTTCCTTGTCAACAGGAACCTCCAGTTTGTCTTCACTTCCTTTCTGATCAGCCTCCTCAGTCAGGCTTGATTCTTTACTGGTTGCACTTCTTCTTTCTCCGCTTTCCTTTCTTTCCCCCTCATTTTCTCCTTTAATTTCAACACTTCTGTCACTGTGCTCGCTGTCAGTTCCCTCTCGAGGTTTTCCTTTTCCAAGATACTTGAATTGGATTTTTCGGTTAATACCAGAGAAATGACCATACCTTGGAGAGACACGAGGAAATAAACTGATGATGTGGATTTAAGCAGCATTTATCACGGTGTGTAAGATCAAAGTTGAAGTCAAGGTTTAGATTCAGTGCTCCGAGTCAAAAATACTTCCAGACTACTAGGGTTTTTAAGAGCTTTAATTTTTCTTTTCCAAAACATACGAGAATTGAGAATTTTTCAGGTTGTGAAGTGGCTGGATCTAGTTGCCTATGCAGGAAAAAAACCTAAGCCGATCTCTTAGAGTCCTTTGCGGGTCACAAGTAATACAGAATTTTCTGAAGAGAGAAAGATATGGTCTTACATTTCCAACACAGTTCTGAGCTGATGGATCTTGTTAGGCTTTTCAAAAACTGGCTTCCCCTCCTTTATGTCAGTCAGCAAATCTCTGGCGATATTCAACACCTCTTGCAACTGAGTTGGCCTCTTGAGTTTAAGCTTCTGATCTTCAAAGCCGTGGTACTTCCTAAACAGTTCAATAAATCTGCCAGTAGAAATAAGCAATACGTTATAGCATTGTGTAAGTAAATACATGATTAAACACACGTCATACACTTCGAGACAAGAGACCCTGGAACACTTCATAGAAAAGATTATTGCTTCATGTTCCAACACTATTATTTCATCGGGTAGATTTTCACGAAAAGGGACTTATAATTCCAAAAACCATATCAGGTTGTAAAAAGTTAAAAATTTGAAACATTTTATGTTTTCAGGCTTTCAATTTCAATTAAGCGCCAAAAGTGGGTCACCCGCGCCCGGCAACTCACTTGTAGTTGGTAGAGTGTCGCCAGGTAGGAAAATAGTTGTGTTATTTTGAACAAAATGCGTGGTTCCTCGTGAAATTAAGGCGGCTCCCGATCGCACGCGCGCATAGGACGAAAGCTCAAGTAATCTGCGCGCGCTCTAAGGAAGACGTCAGTGTTTTTCGATATTTTATTACGTCAACATGAGCACAACAAGCAAAACTGACAGTGAATTTTCTCGCGTTTCCTTCGGTGAAATTCCGTAAAACTTGGCAGACTGGTGGTAAATTTTTTTACATAAGTCGCAGCTCGTTTTTCAGAGAAATCTATAAGACTAGTTTTTTCGCAGCGGTATAAGCCGTAAATTTGCAAAATTGAAAAACCTGCCTTTACAAACCCTACTCTTTTCGTCTTTAAAATTCGTATCCCGCAGGAAGCGATATGCTGTGAAAATTTGCGAAGATTTCACCGAAGGAAATTCAAGAAAATCGCAAGTAAAGCCATAAAAAAGTAAAAAACATATTTGTTTGGGCATTTATAATTCAAGACTAAAACCAACAATTTTAAGAGAGATAATAGTAAAATACTATTTAATCATTGCTTATTACATGTAATTAGTTTGAGAGGACTGGGTATAAAAACGAATGCAAAAACGGCATTCAAAACATAACACTTGCGCGCGTAACGCCATAAATGATTACCTTATGGAGCCACCTTAAGCCCAGACTTCTCGAGTAAAGTAACAGGAGACCAACGCAACTTTAGCATTGTCTTTATTTTTGTTTACTGCGAAGAAAAAGACTATTACCGTGTTGTTCCAGTAGGACGGTTTGCTTTTGACTGGCGCTCATACTGCGGGCACAGTCACCGTATGCAAAGTCAGAACCACCTTAAACTTTCCGAAAATTAAGGTGCCTCTCAACCCTACCAAACGGTTTTTTTTTAAACTTTACCAAAGGTTGTATCTTCTCATACTTATCAGAAATTGATAATAAGAAAAGGTTTCACTACTCCTTGTTCTCGTCATGAACTATATTTAGTATGTGTGAGAGCATTCATCCAAAGCATCGAAAAGTATTGTCACTGTTGTTTTCACATTGTATGGTGATGATGGATTATTGTTACACCTCTACTTTCAAATAGCCCATGGATTTCCCCATGGCTGTTCGTAGGTAACAAAGGAACTACTCTCCGGTTTTGTGTTGATTACACAAACCTTAATGCCTTGAGTAAAACATTTAAAGATGCCTCTTCATTCCATGTATCGATGACACTACGCGTTGATTATAACCATGCTCATCATAAACGCAGCAGGAGTGAAATCTGTTTATTATAATTGACGTGTCGTGAATAACATGGTTGTCTGCCAAAACTTCCCAAGAGGAATCAGAACATTGGAGGTGGTATTCTCTAAATGATCCAGCTGGAATTCAGTCGGATACTACGTAACTGTGCCCCATTGGGGCATTCAGTGTATTGCCCATGTTTTGAGTAGACGACAGAACTGTTTGAAGGAAAGTCCCTCTTACCTTGGATGCCGGACTTCCATTTTCATTTTCTGTTTTGGAGTTCGGTCACCATGTCTGATGATGCCAACCACACACCTTAGCTCCAGCCTGGTACCTCCCAGAGCTTTAACAGTAGGAATTTCCTCTTGCACATCTAGATTGTATGGTTTGTACAACTGAGGAGCTAGTTCTTGTACAATAAGGCTCATTAACACTTGTGCAGCATCATCATAGTACTTCTTAGAGTTCTTGACAAAGCTAAAGCCATTGACATCGCAAATATATGACTTGCCATGGGTGCGGAGCAAGTCACAACCACAAACTGTTTGCTACGAGGAAAAACAAAACGACAAAGTTGCAAAGAAACTGCGGTTCATTACAAATTGATACTGTGCCAGTGATTATTATACTTTCTGTCACTGAGTTCATTCTGAGATCTTGATGGTACATGATATATTATTCCTAGGTTTGCTTATTGTTTCTTATTGCGAACTGTCTGCTTGAAAATGCAGTTATATTGTGAGAAGAAAGCTAATTAATGACGAGTAAATAAAACAAGAAGAAGAAGAGAAAGTGAATGGGCACAGTTTCCTACAAATTAGCAACGAACCCGTAATACTTTAAAGTTTCTTCTTTGACTTAACAGGCATATTTTCCTACACGAAAGGTTAATGGGGGTCCGTAAGGTAATAACGATTCTTCCGACTTGGTTTGTGGTAATTCCTTCCTCACATCTAGGCAACCTTTTGCTGGGTTTGTTATCAAAAGGTAAAGAAAATTCAGAAACTATCATTATAAAAAGGGTTAATTGGAATACAGGCTCAAAAGCAAATGTCACCTTATACCTTGAACAGTTTGCAAACTTTATGGGCCATTTCTTTCTCTTGCTGATCAAGAATAATTGGGTATCGTATCTCCTTCCCTTGGCTGTCCCTTTCAACTTTTCCATCCAGTGAAGGAGACTTGCGTGCTTCAGCATGGGCATATTCTGGGCCCACAGTGTACACCTTGAATTGAAATAATGTTAATTATCACAATCACAAGTTAATAAAATCACCTGGAATTAACTGCATACTTTAGTTGGTATCTCAACATGCCCAGTATGACGTTGTCATTACACCCCTACACATCATACTATTGCCAATTCCCATTTAAGGTTGCCTGGAAGTGAAACTGGTCATCGTGGATACTTTTGAAAATGCTTCAAAATTAGAATAGTCCCAAAGAGAGCTTAAAAAGCTATAAATATGTTGTGGAAGTTGCGGGGGTGGAATCAGGGATCATCTAAGACGGCTTCTGGCTGTGGCATCATCATAGATCTCCAAAACTCCACGAGGATTAGCTGGTTTTTGGAAGTGATCATAACAGTAACCAATCTTTATTTCCAGTAACACCACTTCTTGCTTGAAGCTGTTTTTGCAACTTGTGCACAAAAGGATAAAATGTGTGTTCCAACCACCAGCCATCAACATGAATGTCATGATACATCAATTAGGTGTTGCGGTGAATAGAAATTACAGTCTAAAGGTCACATTTAGACCACACAATATCCAGGAATATGCTCACAGAGTACTTTCTTCCATCTTCAGAACACTTTACTTTCCATATGACAGAAAAAGCACTCTTTACCGCATAAATCTCCGCAAACGTGACAGGCCAAGACAACTATAACAAGCACTTCCATAGTCATAGTACAACAGCAAGATTATCACCAATCTATTTATGGAAAAAAGACGCACAAGAGTACTAGGTCTTTTATAAAAGAGTGCAACACGGTGGTGGCTATCACACCGTCACAACCATCTCGGAGGGGATGCAACAATCACCTGACTTGCTGTCATCATGAGCATCAATTAATGAATCAATCAAACTTTATTTGATTGATTGATCACCATGCGTTGTTGTGAAAGACCAGCTTTACGACTGGAATATTTGGTAATTACCGGAAATGAGAGAGATAGAAATGAAACCGTTTTTGAATACACTGAGCAGTCAAACTAGAAGATATCTTTCAGGGTCAAATTGTCACGTTTTAACACTATCAATGGTGCTCCGATTTATTTTAAGGATTGAGTTAAGAGAAAAAAACAGCCGTTATATAAAATGCTTATCTCCGACGGCTACTTCACAGATTACGTTTTGGGCATTGCATTTCAGTTCAAGGTTCTACGTCACGGTTTGCCCATCTTGAAAAGATTAGCCTAAATATTTCAAGTTCATTCTTTGAAATCCATGCTAATCTTCTTCATCCTTAACAATCCTTCTTCGTTTATGGTTTATTACTATTTCTTTTGATAATACTATTTTCGGGTTTCCTTCAATTTAAAGGTAAATTTGGATGTGGCCAAAATAGCTCAAAATACCGTGGCTGAGTTCTTTTAAGAGTTCGTCTCCACATTCACATGCCAAAGGACAGACCATACAGTGTGGCCTACAACTTACAAAAGAATGTCTTCCTTCGCCAGATTACATTGATGTTTGAACAACAATACCTGATGATTCTGACCTTAGAATATAGATTGAAATTCATCAGACATGCCTAACAAATGACATGCAGATTTGACTTTTCTAAGTCACCAGCACCAACCCTGAGAATTTTAAAAAACGCATGCGGATGAGGGCAACCCATCAAGGTCTTATATGACAAAACATGCCCGGCCCCTTCATTAAGATGAGTGTGTGGTGCAAATGCAGGGCAACTTAATTGGCATTTACGTGTAATACGTTTTTAAAGTACTGGGGAAGGCACAAGTGATTTGGTCTTCCAAAACAATAACATCATTAAGGATGAGGTTGCTGCAGTGCTGAATGCCAACAAAATGTGAGATGGGCTTTCAAAAAGATCAAGGACTTGTTGCAGCTTCCCCCTTAATTTCAAGGCATGTTGCTGTGTTTTCTAATCGCTTCACTGACAACAATATTGGTTTCAACATAGGTTTCAGACAAGATTGCAAAACATAAGAGGTACGTCTGTTCTATTAAAGCCACGTATTGGAGAATGCAGTCAGGCAAGTTGGGCCACAATTTCCTTGCAACTAATAAGCAAAAGGGCTAGGGTGAATGTTTTTTCAGCACTGTGTCACAATGATATGAAAAGCCATCAGAAAGATTTTGGGTCATTTTCTAGTGCCTTTTGATGGCAACAACAATTGTTAAGTCCTACATGACTGGGAGCTCCAAAGAAGGGCTTCTGATGATCTTTCCCTTTTTGCGTGGCTCTTTCCGGTGTGCGTCTTGTCGTTCTGGCCTTCCAGCAGGTATCACTGTCACTTCCTGTTCTTTCTTCACTGAAAAATCTTGTTCAATGATCTTGTTCTTTCTTGTTTCCCTTTCAAATTAACTTTGAGACACTTTGCTATATTCATTGAGAAACACTGATATATGATGAATATCCCGTGCTTACAGTGGTCCTGTTTAACCTTGCTGGCTTTGCAAATCTTCAGAGGTATCTCTTCCTCTGTATCCTTCTACAAAGAATTGCCCATGCCGGCCAGGAGTGACTTAATGAATTTTAAACCAGTGTAATTTGTAACTTTGCAACTTGTAACCTCTTCTCAGCCTCATAAATTACACAATTGTGCATCATGCAAAAGACACAATGATATACTAATAAGCTAACTTTTGGAGGTATACTGCACCATCAAAAGTCAGTATCAAGTAATTGTCTTAAACTGACTAATAAATTGTAAACGATAGATGAATGGTAATTAAATAATGGTCAACTCTTGGTTTACCTTCACATCTGTCCCATCAGTAACTACAAAGTCTTCATAGATGTATGACCCTTCTTTCCTCACAGAGCTTACAGGCGAGTACACACTACTTCTGTCTCCAACCTTTCTGAACAATCTCTGGCTCCCACCACCAGCTGCCGAGGGGAAATAGATATATACATTATGGTCTTCTGCATCCACTGGCTTCTCGACAAAGGGTTTTTGGAACACCTTATCACCAATCTGCACTGAATCATCTAGTTCAACAAATTTTGTGTCAATGGGATTTCCATCCTCATCTCGTAGCAATATTGCATGCCTAGGTGTTTCTATTCCAGCAATCTCCAGGATACTGTACATTGTTGGTCTAAAAAGAAGGAGTGAACAGTAGTGTTGATCAGTGCATGTCACATTACCATCCACATTCATATGCATGTTCGTTTGCTTTTATCCTAGCCTGTCAGATAAATTAAGTAAGATGGTATCTGATCCAAGTTATTTGTTGGGTGTGTAACATCATATTCAACAAAAGTAACTAAGTATATAAACACACATTATATAAAGACCAAAAAATTATTTACATGCCAAAGACAACATCATAATTTTGTGCTAATACAACAGAGAGTGATTCCTAAAGATCCTTTCAACTACAGTATTAATAGTACCAGTCTTACAATTGATGGGACTGAGTGTCATAATACAGATGTACAAACCTGTGCATTAACGCATACTGCATCTCCAGATCATTCAGAACAAAAGGGTTTGTAAGTTTGGCATACTCAATAGCTTTTTCAAGAGGAAATCCATTTGAGTAAAATGAAATCAGGCAGTCACAGATTGGCCATTCCTCCACAGGAACATTCATGATGATGTCTTCAGGAAACACAAAGATGTCAGCACAGTCAAACACAGACATCCGATTCAGAATCTCTTGCATTGGTGGAGAATAAGTCTTAAAAATAAGTTTAACAAAAAAATCATTGTTAACAAATCTTGAGACCATAATTGTTAATAATTTTATAACTTTCAGACACTTAATGATCATTTGTAACTGCAGGCTGTGAACACCTTAGAATGTACAGCAGCCTGTTAAGCTAGACTTACATGACCTACTGATGGCCATATTATCCATTGACTGTGAGTATTTCCTAAAATCTGTTGATGGGGACACAGGGAGGGAGCATTGGATAGGGAGGACATGCATGGTAGGAGGAGAGGAAATCTGAGAGGACAGGAAGTCAGATTGCCCAGGTCATGGGATCAACCTCAGAAAAATAGGGAAAAAGTCTGAATATAACTATTTTGCAAAAGGTGTGGGAGCTGCCACTAAGGAAGGGGCAGGAACCCTAAGTAAAAGTAAAGTAAAGTAGAAAACTCAGAAACCCCGGCCCCTCTCACAGATATCTGAAAACTAGTAGTAATCAAAGATTAGAGCGGTGCGTTCTCACACATACTTTGAATGTTTGGTCTACTCTGGTTTTGTTCAAATGGCTCCTTACATGTAGAAAACCAAGTTTGATTGAATGACAGATAACAATCTGCACGTGAAGTTGAAGCCTACGGGTAAAAGTGTTTTTTAATTAATTAAGTATTAACTTGTACTGGACAAAATATTTTCCAGGAAAGACATTTGAACTTTTGGCAACACTTAGAATTCAATTTCAGATCACCAACACTTGTAACAAATATTTCTTGAGAAAATAATGTTAATGACCAGCTACTCTGCAAGACAGCATGTCGCCAAATGTTTTTAAATTTTGTGTTTGTATAAATTTGTTTTCATTGCTCAAATTTACATCTTGTTTTCACAAAGGAAAAAGATTAATTAACAGCATGGAAAGTTTGTTTTCTGACAACCAATTATGGCCACAAGGACTTTGTTGAGCTACAAATTGGAAAATTTATTTTCGGACCACAGATCTGACAGTCATAATGGCCATTTGCTGAGCTACATGGAAGATTTGTTTCTTACCACAACTTATGGCCATTTGCTATCGCCGAACTACAAAACATTCTTTCCTGCTGATGCAGGCTTTAGTTACTTGTTGTTGAAGGCTAGCGGATCAAAATACATGCAGCTTTGCAGAAATCAAAAACACTCTGAATCTATAGGGTGAATATGTGACTGCGTGCATGCGCTCATGATGTAATTTGCTTCTCTAGTGGGGGGCCAGGGCGAAATCGGCAAACAAATCTGTATGAAAAATTCCCAATAAAAACTGGATTATGACTGCGTTACACTATGTGAATGCAATAATTAATATACTGTACATGTACCTGCAAACATTTTCAGAGTCAAAGGCATGAAATTTTATAATCCTAGCCGGAGTGTCAGGATTTTCAAAGATAACCCAAACTGAAAGATATCTGAAGTCATCTACGAATTTCTGAGGAGGTTCAAAAAATGTTGCAAAAGGCCTCAGACATTTCCCTGTCAATCCCGAGTAGGGGGTACTCCCTTGTATGGGCTATATCGGTATGCGAGGCCCCAAAGGGTTTGGTTTGTTACCCATTATGGTCAGAAATAGGGTATTTCTTTTATTTGGCCAAGAGCTTGGTCCATAGTCATGAGTACACAAGACATCAAAGTTTTCAACATCAAGGCATGAGACTCACACCTAAGCTAAGGCATATAGAGATATGATGGCAGGTTTAGATTCACCTTTTTACTCATAGCACAGATGCCAATCCTGATCTTAGGGATTCCATCTTCGTCATCTTCGTCATCTTCATCTTCATCATAGTCCTCATCCTCATCATCGTGTCTATTGAAAGGTGTTTGGTAATCGCCCACTTGGTCAAACAATTCAAGGTGAGTCAGAGACATGACACTGATTGACAGCTGCTATTTACACAACATTCTCTTCCATTTGTAAATGTAACAGCTATGTAACCATTCTGCAAAAGGAAGACGAATTGCAAATGGGAATGAGTATAATAACATGACAAACTATATCATGATGAAATGGGCCATATGGTTTCCTAAGTAGTCCATATTAAACACCCTTGATCTATGCATGAGACATAACTTACAGTAAAAGCAAATCATCTTCTGTCATTCAGAGGTCACATTATGTGCCAAATAGATAGATGGTATTTTCCACAAATTATGCAATTGACACAACTACAGATACCTCCTTAAAATTCATTGACTTGCAAGATACCCTTTGCGAGAGAAAATAACAATATTCTGACAGCTGACTGTAAAACTGTCATGATTACAAGTAACCTACATGTAATCTGTTTCTTACTTGCATGCAAAACTTTATTGAGCAATTGACAGGCTAAAAGACTGCAAACATTTGTAACTGATACTTCAGTATATCAGAGTGGGTACAGTGTATATGTATCATCCAGCACTAATATATTGTCATTAGAGCAGTATTATTGCTGGGTATTCTAATTATCCTGTAATCATGTTGACTACATTATTGACAGTAGCAATTAAGTCAAGCTGTCTTCATGAGCTGACAGCTGACGACTATCAAGCCTTACAGTACAAGGGCAACAGTACTAGTTTCATGATGGACTGGACAAAAACTAAGAAGCAAGTGGTCAAGTTTTTCTCTTTGAGTGATATATGCTAAAAGAATCATTACTTGCCCCTGATGGCACATATTAGGTTTGAAAATTTCAGATTGCATTTCTTGTTGCTCAAAACAAGTAAAGCCCCTTATATGGATCAATCTCTTCACTTGCTGTCTGTTTGTTAGTTTGCTGAGTGAGCTCAAAAAACGTATGCCAAAAAGGATTCTTAAACACAAACATTTGCAGAAACAGTTTTTACTTTTAAAACCATTCTTATAATTAACCTTAGTTAGTATTATTTTTAATCTTAGTTCTAGGTTTAAACCTTAGCTGTTAAGTCTTACATTTTTAGCTTTCATTAATATACTGTATTTTAGACTTTTAATATATAATTTTTAGACTTTTAGTTTTTTAGAGGACCCTCCTTAAAACCACCACCAGATGCATGTGATTAGAGGCCTCCTCTTAAAATATTTTAATACTTCATAATAATAATAATAATAAATGGAAATTTATTATTGATAGTATCTTTTGACATAAAATATACATGAACATTTACATGCATTAGTCATTGCCCAGGTTCGGGTTGTTCAAAGCACGATTAAGCTAATCCAGGATTAGCATAAATTTTTATTTCAATTTTCGTAACTTTTCAGTGAAGTTTTCTGTTTAAATTTTTTGTCCTTCAATTTTGGCGTTGAACAACGACAAACTCCAACAAACATGGACAGTGAAAACACTTTTATTTAAGAGAAATTAGAACTTTGATTAACTTTTAAACCTGGATTAGCGTTAACTGGCTTTCAAACAACCAGGCCCAGGTGTTAAACTACAAAGTCAGATCTTGTCTTTAATTATTTAGAAAGATAGGTAAAATTTGGAGAGGATTTGTTTCTGCGCCTGCACCAAACACCACTGATCATGATGATCAGGCCCAGTTATTGGGTGCTATGAGTGCATCCTGTGGGAGGCGTGGTGGCCTCATCAATATACGGTTACATTATAGGGGTTTGCAATCACTTTTTCTTACTAAACGCAGGGGAATTGTGGTTATGGGCAAATGGAAGATTTAGGATGCACAGTGATGTGGTATGGTGCAAGGAGTTGTGGTTATACGCGAATGGAAGATTTAGGATGTGCAGAGGAAAATGCGTGACTGGACGATTTAGCATGCGCAGTGGACTTCCATGTGCTTTCTTGGTAATGTTTTAGGAAAGCAAGAAGAGGGTGAGTTCTTAAATGTGTGAATTGCTCTTTTTTTCACTTCTTGCTGGTTTTTTTACGCTACTTTTATCCTTCAGATCCTTATTAACTTTACTTACTTTACTTCATGATAAACAAGTATGTCCAATTCTAATTTATATTCAGTTATATTCACTGTTGCTATCATGCAACAGGGATATGAACTTTGAAAGGCTGTTAGGCTGAAGGGTTTTCAAAAAATCCCATTGCAATCCCCTTAAATCTTCTTCAATTTTGCCCATTCTTGCTTTCTTTTATTTAATGAGTTATTTAAGCCATCCTTTGATGTTTTAAGTGGTTATTTTCTGTTTCACTTAATTTGGTGGTCAGCTCTCAGTTACTGACTTTGATGATCTTGAAGTGTGTTACAAACATCACTGTTGCTCTAGCTAGGTTGCATATACCATTTATTACACTGAAAATTGGGTTTTTTGGTTACTTTTATAAGGGAAATGATTGTTTCATTTTATCTTATTTCAGATTGAATTCAATTGAGAGATTGTTCTATAACAGCAAGAATTTGTATTGAAGAGAAATTGCCTAAGTTTGTACTTTACACTCTACCCTGCACTGCACAATATAGCTTAACAAACATTGCCACTTGGCGAAAGACAGTTAACTGTTTTGCAGGTACATGATGATGTCACTGCAATGTTAAATTTGTATTATAGATAGTTTATAGTAGACTTAATTTACACCATATTTGAGTTATTTTTTTGTAAAAAAATACCTCTTAGTCAGCGCGTCGGGTATGTTATGGACGGGTCAATGGATATGTGAGTGAGTGAGTGAGAGATGTATGTATGTCACACCAATCAGATTGGATCTACTATAAACAGCCAATAAAATTTCTTATTGTAAAGGTAAATGATATATGAGAAGATCTGATTCCAACACAGTTAAGAACGGCCATATTTATTCTTATATAAAAGAGGAGGAAGTATTCATATATTTGGCTTAATTACTTCGACATTTTTTCTGGGTTAGGCTGAGGATTTTAGTTTCGAACGAGATGAGCCTTGAGGTTTGAAACAGTTTGTGAGTTAGTAGTATGCAAATGCAACAAGATATTTTATTTTTAGTTACAAAGGTAACTTGATACTTTTGTTCTTCACGAGGAGTACATGTAAATTCGATTAGAGCTCACAAATCGTTGCTTCTAGTTCTTAGGACATGTTTTAGAGGAGACGAGACTATTTAGATTTGAAACAGTTCTAACGTTTACAATAGTAAGTGCAGATGACAATTGTTTTGTTCTTGTTACATGTAAATATAACGAGATATGATTTATTTTTTAGTTACAAAGGGTAATTTGACACTCTTGTTTTTCACAAGGGATTAAATTCAAGTAGCGCTGACGAATCGTCACCACTCTTTCCCACAAGATGTTTGGTGTCTTTAGTTACAAATGAAAACTTAACACTTTTGTTTTTCATATGGGAGTAGATTCAATTAGAGCAGACAAGTTATCGGCTATTGTTCCCAGGATATTAAACAAAAAAGAATCTTTCATTTCTGGACGGTTTTTACGTCTCTGCAGTAGCAGTTTATTTTTATTTGATGGGCATTTTATGACATTCTTTTCAGCCCGATATTTTTAAAGGTAAAAAGTATCAAAACTGCTCAAATGTTCTTTGAAGACTGTGTGGCACCAAGTTAAAGTGCAGTTCAATTAAATCAGACTTTTAATGTGTCAGAGAGGTTTTTTTTCTCTTTCCTTCTATTTTCGGTGAAGTAGTGTTGTTGTGTTGTGTTGTGTAAAAAGGGTAAACTTACGACTCCTATAAAATGCGAAAAGGTCTCTTAACTTGAGTATTTTTGAGCAAAAATTCCTCTTGGGGGTTGAAAGGGCTATGTGATTAGTGAGTGAGGGAGTTATGCATGTGCACATGTCACACCAATCACAGTGTGGATTTTATCAAAGAACGAATCAAAGAAAAAAAATAAGATGGTATCTACATTAATCTTGAGATGTGTCAGATTACTGTAGTTTGTTCAGTCAAACATTTTATGGCTTACTATTTAGCTATCTTAACATGACCGATGTAACATTGTATGTACATCATAAATTCCTAGTTTCTTTGTTGCTGTACATTGCAACCAATAAAACTTTTCAAATTAACCAAATCATTACTATAAACAGCTCCATGAATGCTCCTATCTCCGACACTTCACAAAAAAAAAAAAACTCTTGCATGCTTTGCATGCCTATGTTTTATAGTTGCTGTTGAAGAGGAATCTGATTTTTATAGTCTATATTATATCAACAACAAAATGTTGCTAGTAGAATGTATAAAGTTTGTGATAAAAATAAATAACTCTTTGGCAGGGTACATGATGTCACTGTAATGTCAAATTCATAATGATAGTTTATAGTTGATTTTACAACATATTTTATAGTTGCTGTTGAAGACACATCTGATTTTTATAGTCTATATTATTTCAAAAGTAAAATGTTGCTGTTGGACGTATAAAGTTTGTGATAAAAATTAACTGTTTAGCAGGGTACATCATGTTACTGAAATGTCAAATTCATAATGATGTTTATAGTTGATTTTACAATGTATTTTATAGTTGCTGTTGGAGAGCAATTTGATTTTTATTGTATATAATTATTGTTTCAACAGCAAAATGTTGCTGTTAGAACATATAAAGTTTGTGATAAAAAATGTCACTGCAATGTCAAATTCATAATGAGAGTTTATAGTTGATTTCACAACATTGATAGTTGCTGTTCAAGAGGCATCTGATTTTTGAACAGCGAAATGTTGCTGTCACAGAGTTTATAGTTTACTAAATGTTTATTTTATAGTTTTACTAAAGAGTTTTTTCAGAAGTGTCCATTGCACAATGTTGATGCTTAGGGACCGTTCATTTTCAATGTATTAGAGGGGGGCATGCCAATAAATTTGCCTTCAAAGGGGGGATCATGCAAAAAACATTTGCAGTGAAAGTGCGGCACACAAAATAACTTGTTTACAAAATGTCCATTTTAAAGATATATTAAAGAGAGGAAAACGTGGGCTGGTGATATTTGACAGGGGGCCGTGCCAAACAGTTGGCTTTAAAGGGGGACCCATGCAAAAACATTTGCAGTGTAATGGGAGAGGGGTTACTAAAATATCCCCTCCTTTATGTACTGAACAGCATCAAGTTCAGCTAAATGAGTGTTTTGTAATTGCCATCATCATTATTATTTTTTTCTTCTTTGGGGGGAGGGGGAGGGAGGTGTAATATCAAATATTTATGAACACTAAAAGAGCCAGGGAGAAATTCCGGTGAAGAGAAGGGCTCTTGTATTTTGCACGCACTATCTATTAAATCCCACCAAGCACCCTACCCCATAAAAATTTAAATTGATTTCCCTTCATAACGATTCACATATGGCTTCTTGTAGAAATCAATTCTTCACCGTTGCAAGCAGATGACATAGTACAGTTCATAAGGTTACTGTTAGCATATTTAATATCGTCCTCCCCTTCGGCAGCATTATTACCATTTAGGTATACTAGGATCCCATATTAAGTAGCTTATCCACAATGGGGTACATTCCCAGCCAAGAGATTCTTATCACCTTGGTTCCAGCAGGTCTCATTTTCGTAACGAAAACATTTGCGGCTTTTACTTGTCTATTGAACGTTTTTTAGTTATTTCTCGATATCTTCCCCCGTGACTAGTTGAGAATTTCATTGGAAAGCATGTTTAAACTTCCCGCTGCATACATCCATCTGGCGAACCAAAGACGAGTTGCTCAGGCATTGGAAGAAGCAGGCAACTCTACACTGAGTTGGACCCCGCATTAACGGATGATTGAACACCTTCCCAGAGAAGATGGCTATCAGACAATAATTATTTCGCAGAGTCGTATCAGACAGATTGATATTGAAGGATAGAATTTAAGCTTAGAACTCTTTGCATGACCTTGCTGCAAATATGTATCGCGTGATGTTTAGCTTCAAATTATGGACAATTGACCTGTGTCCGAACGGTAATTAGAGTCAAATGAAATGAAATGGCTCTGTACGCATAATATAGATCTGCTTACTCACCTTCTTCTTTGTAACAGAGAAGTATCAGTGCATGATTAGGAAAAACGATGTCACCTATCAGCTTGGAATCGTTTGACCTCTTCCAAGTCCAGCACACCGTATCGTGCGTGGACCTCTCGGGTAAACAACATTTAATAAGAGAATGTTTATAATTGGTTAATTTGTCATCCAATCAAAAACCGTGTTATATGCAGCAAATGACGTCGTTTTTCGTTTTCAATATGGCCGCCATTGCTTCCCGGAGAGTTAGTTGTCGTCAAAATGTTGAATTAGTCAGGCCTCTATGATAAGCCGTCATGCCTTCGTCAGACAAGAATAAACTAAAGGACCTGCACTTGGCTTCTTGTTTAGGAGACCTGAACAAACTAGCCGATCCTGGCCTTACTGCTGACAGAAATGCTAATCCCTCAGCGTAAGTTGTGTTTTGTTGTTAGTGCTGTAGCAGTTATCAGGCCAGTATATTAACTCTATCATCATTTTTCCGTGTTCTGTGAAGTCACATTTCCTGCATTTTAAGAATCTTTTAGATTAAAATAAGTGAGAACTAAAATCACGAGCTACAACAAAAAAGTTGCATTGCTGACATCGAAAACAAAGTAATATGTCCTTACATGAATAATAATTTCCATTTCTCAGGCTAGAAAATGGTACAATCTTCGGTTAGATCACATCAAATAAGTTTACAACAGTCTTTAAGCCAACTGCGTGCACCGTGTCATGCGTGTTTATAGACTTGCCTGCAGTGAAAAATTAGATTAAAGGGCCATTGTCGCGATAAAGCGTTTACAAAAGTAAACTAGGTGAAATATCCCAATGAAAGTGCTTTAATCTTCACATCAGACTAAAAAGATCCCCAGGACTTGGAATTTGAAATTGCAGCAGACCATATCCCATCAGAGTTCCTGCACGCTGACATCAGAGTGCGGAGTCGGAGACACCTAGTTTTCGTTACCGATCAGCAGTCCGAGTTCCTTGCCCGTTCAAAGTCTTGGTACATCGATGTCACATTTATTAGATGTGCCGCGGAGTAACTCGTTGGTAAACGAAGATTCAAAACAGACCAAGCATTCGTTAACTTCGAATTTTCGGAAAAATCTATTGAGAATAAAAGTTTAATAGCTTAGTTTGCCTCTCAAACGAAGTGACTATTCTTTGGAACAAAGTGGCTATTTGGTGGAATGAAGTGACTTTGATGGAACGAAGTGACCGTAAACCTGATTGGGTTTGATTGACACAATTTTTTTAACCAATAGGCATTTTAATACTATCATGCAAACCATGAATTTGCCACGGATCAGCGTGGAGTTTCATGTGCGTTTTGATAATCTCTTTATCTGCCAGCTTTTGGCCTTTTTTTGTAAAGAATATTTATCATCTTTATGTTGTGTGAAGGCCATGTCTGTTGAATACAAGCACATACACTTTACATTCTTTCAACTTGCATTCACATCTGCAGCTATATAAAGTTTCCGATATTCATCCTCCCATCTTTTGTTCCTTTTTCTTTTCTATTTTTCTCTCCAACAAGACCGCTACAGGGGGAAAGTAGCTTTCATCTTTAGCTGGCTCGAAAATCTCCTCTTGAGGACATCGTATTTCTCGACAGTATTCAACTCAAAACACATTATGCCGTTTAAATCTTTCATGCATTACTAAGGAGTTCTTCAATATATCGGTATTACCCTTTTCACATGCCTCACAAGGTCGATGGAGAAGGATTTTTCACACAAAATATATCATTGAACTTTGAAAACTTTTCCGTCAGATAAGAAATCAAATTGCCACACATGTCCCTTAGAGTGTCAGTTATGCCCTTTAAGAATGAATCCAAGGATATGACAGTCAACAGTTTAAGGATTTCGTGGTGTAGCTCATTTAGTTATCTCTTATGCTTATTGTTCAATGAAGAGTTAGTCACAGACAGGGTTATAGCAGGAGCACATTCTGGTTCTGTTCTTGATTTGTAAATTTTTCAGATTACATGGTAGAATGGCTTCATCGTGACAATGTATCATGCAGTATTTCCTCAAATAATAGCCACCTCTTGATTAGGTGTGAAGTTGTTCAGCCCTAAAGTTGATTTGCCCCTAACTGTTTAGCCTTCAACCAGAAGTTGACAACACTGTCTATTTCCCTTTTTTTAAGTGTGAATACAACAGTGAATGGTTGGGGGCTCACCAGCTAGGGGCTAAACAACATGTACAGTGTACATTTCTTGATTAATCCCCACTCAAAATAATTATCCCCCTTCAAGGGGATTATTTGAAATGATCCCCTCCCTCGAATAATGCCTCTCACTCCCTGACTCTCTTTGAATAAATTGCCCCTCACTCCAGTGTTTCTGCCAGAACGCGCCATTGCGGCAATCCCGCATCACAATCAGAGATGGCCCCCAGAAAAACGAAAAAAGGGCCAATTTGACCCTTTCCTTTTACAAGACTCAGGCTTAACACAGGCATAATAATTAAAAAGCCATCCCAGGGCTCGAAATTGTGATCGATATGGTCGCCAATGCAACTAACATTTCATCCTTGGCGACCAAAAATTCTGGTTTAGTCGCCATGATGGCGGCTAAATTTCTCTGTGTTGATGATCAATAATGGTTATTTTGTCACACATTATGTCCTTCTAGAAAATCGTATTGAAAGATCTTTGCTTCTAAAACATTCAACATAAGAAAAGAAGTCAATTCATCCTTTTGCTTTGCTGTATTGATTCTCTAACATCGGAAAACTTCCAAATGGCTGACCGTGTTTGAAATCGCCCTATAATGCATTGCAAACCCTTGATCATTGACTACATCATGTATGTATACATTCTCTTGTAATGCAGGGATCCTTCCTACTGGTATCTGAAACTTAATTGAGTAGAAACACTTCAAGAAGCACTTACTATTAAATTTTATCATAGATCCTAATAAACTGCTTTATTTTCCTTGGTACCCTGATAGACTTTTTCCTTCTGTAACTTTCAATTTATTGGCCCCTTTCCTACAAAATTGGCCCCTAAAAAGGATCTTCAGGGGTCACTTTGGCCCTGAAGGAAAATTCTCTGGCTGAAACACTGCCTCACCCTTCTATTCCTTACCATGTCCTTTGGTAATCAACCCTTCTCTCCCTATATCTCCCCTTTCATTCTCCTTCCCCCCCCCCCCCCCCCCCCCCCCCCC